AGGGCGTGTTTTGAATGCTAAAAGGAGTATATTTGAGTTCTGTGATTCTAGTCTAATTCAGGATAACGCCTTATGCAAGTGGGAAAAAGAGACTGGATTATACTTTTTCATATATATTCTTAAAGGTATTTTCGATGAGAGGAGAGCGACTGCCGGAGACTGAAACTTTTATCCTTCTGAGTTTCTGATGAATAAAATTGCTTTCTAACCAGATGAAGACGGTGAACAGTGGACTTTGATGGTATGAGCTGCTTTAAAACGTAAAACTGGGTCCAGAGAGACTTTACTATATGGAAAATATCGAGTACAGAGCCTTTAACACAGGGGTGTCCAGACTTTTTTCATCAAGGGCCACGTATCTAAACACAGACAAAACAGAGGGCCGATCGAGGACCGTAGACTGGAGCTCAATACAATGAATAATTGAAATACGTGCATGTTGAACACATCAGAATGAGCCGTCAGTCTTTAGTCATGCTAGAATCTTCAAAACCACACACTAAATATATTAGCTTTATCAAAGTAGATTTTCAAAAAACTTGCAGTAAAAAAGTTAGTTTTTAATTCATGTAAGGTAATTTGGGCCAAGTCACTTAGAAGCCTGAGGGCCAAGAAAAATGGTCACATTTTTCCACCTTCAAGGCACTCAAAGCGCTTTACAACAAGGAACCACTCACCCATTCACACACCAGTGTACGCAGACACTGTGGGCAAGGTGGGTTAAGTGTCTTGTCCAAGGACACAATGACAGCATTCGTCAGTGGATCTGACCGCTCAACCTGTGATGTTTATGTCAAGAGCTGGAATCGAACCGCCAACCTTCAGTGGGCGAATGCTCTACCAACTGAGCTACTGCCGCCCCAATAGGCCATATGTTTTCATGGGTACACAAACTCTATTTTCTGATCTATTGTTACGTTACGACGGCAGCCTGAAGTGACCAAAATCATTCGATCTTTTGACATGCAACTTCAGTCTGAACGGCCAGGTCGCATTCATCCCACCTACACGTCATAACAACATGGTAACAAGCACCTGTTGCGAGCCAATACAGCCCAACGCCACCGAAAACGTGTTTCCTCCCACGAGAGCTACAAGTAGGTGCTCACAAATGTACACAAACAAAAAAAAAATTGTGTCTGAACTCCGTGTCAGTGAAGCAACGAAGCACATCGCACTCTTACCACTCTCGACTGTGACTCCGCACCCACATGTTCCTTTCTACGGACGTTGCTGCCACTGCCCCACACAGCCTCCTTCTCCTTCTCAATCTCCTCCTTAAAACTAATTCTGGTCTCTACGACAGCAACTTTAAAATCTCCAGGTGCTGAATGCTGCGTCCATGTTTAGGCGACTTCTGTAAACACTGAGCATGCTCAATGTGTGTGATGTCGTTGTGTCCTCCAATGCACATGCGGGACACTTTTGGGGCGTTTAAAGTTACACACTGGAGATCACATACAAGCCGCATTTAATTGGAAATGTAAACGACCTCGCAAAAAAGTCAGATTTTACATGTTAAAATGTTGTTTTCTCATCAAAACCGTACCCGCAGTTGGGTTTTGTTCCATTCACACATGATTAACACACAAACCCTGGATATTTAGGCTGTGTTTTTCTCTCAAACTGAAAACACTCTTCCACCTTGTGATGCCATGTGGTGATACAGGAAGCACTCCACTGTGTTTTTAAACTCCACACACCGTCACTAGAATCATTTGGATCCTTTCTGCTCTGGAATTGCTCATCGCTACTGAACAAAATGTAAAGGGTAGGTGTTGACTTTAAAACTATCGCTTCATGACTTCACAAATTGGAACAGAGCATTTTGAGCTTTGGAGATGGAGAAAGACTAATTATATGATCAGTCAAACATGTGAATGAAACAAAACACAACTCCAGGTATTCCCTTCATGCAATAAAGCACTTTTAATACATTCAGTCAGAGTGCCTCGGGTTTGTATCTTGCCCATTTTTACATTTTCCAGTAAGGGTAACTTTCTGTTCAAAGACTACTTTTTTAAACCCTCATAGAGCACCTGTACTGCTATTTTTTTACTCTTTTAAGACCCAGTGAAGCGCTCTACCTCTTTTTCTTCATCTGACAACTCCAGGTATGTGTTTGTTAGGGTTACCAGACGTCCCTATTTACCCGGGACGGTCCCAGTTTTGAGTCCCGTGTCCAATGTCCCAGCAGATTTATCCAAAACCAGTGATTTGTCCCAGTTTTATACAAGAAATTTCCCTGGTGTCCCTATTTTTGACCAATTTGATCTTTGCCAACAATAAAGAAAGGCATAAATTGTCATTTGTTGAGGTAAAATAAAGAAAATCATGCTCAAAAATTACCAAAACACAAAGTCACCTGAATTTTTGAGGAAGTAACCGCAATATAATGCCTCTAAAATCTCACAAGAATCATTTTTGAGTCGTATAGGACCTTTAATGACTAAAATCTAACTTGTGACTGAATTATACTTTTAAATCATAAAGCCGATCTCAGCATTTCACAAAAAGATGCTTAGTAACTGTTTGTGGAATTGTGAGATGTGTGAAAAGGAAAAAAAAATAGGCACTTTCTTTATGCAGTAGGATTGGCTAATATTATACGCATTATGCACTGGGAATATAATAAAACATATTTGATGGAGAAAAAAAAAACGTTCCAAGGCGCTGTGATGTTCATTCTCTCACAAAATGAAGGATTTTTATCTTTGCGAGAGAACATCGATTTTCTCATTTTTTGCTGTCTTAAGTTTCCAATAGATCCTCAGTGAGAGCCTGATTCTGTGACTATGCTCCACTGATGTTTTACCCCTGAGGCGTTCGCTTTTTCTGAAATAAAATTCGATCTTGACACGAGTGCTGTGCATGGATAAACAGGAAACAGGCGCGCAGTACTTTTGTTTCAAGCAGTTGGCGTTTGGTGAGGTATTATTCAGCTAAAGTGATCCTGGCGCTGAAGAGGGCCAGAGCGCTTTGGGAGGTATACTACTCCCAAGTGTCTGGTACAATTCACTTAACGGCGCCGTAACTGATTTTTCCTGTCTTAAAAATGTGAAAAACAGAACTAGTTCATTTTAAACGGTTTGCAGTGGTCCAACGTTATTTCTGACGTACCTAAATACTCACCAAAATGAGTTTACAAGCCCTTTCACAGCTCTATAAAACCAGTGCTGCGACGGTAAATCTATTAACAACTAGCATGCAAACAAGCACCTCTTCATTATCCAACACTTTATAAGAACACGCAGGCAACAAAATATACTGTATAAAGAGGTGGACTGTGGGAGTGTGACGTCAGCCCTAGCGTTCGGCTCCAGTCAAATGAAGCTCACTGAGGCTGGCGGTTATGGAGCAAATTTGGAGCTGTTCCACATTTGGAAACAGGAATTAATTTACGGACAAAATAGCAAAATAAAAACACCAGGATCACGTAGAAAGGGTTAATATGGACATTTTACAGCAGCAGTTATGACGGGGTGGGCATTTTTATTTTTTTATTTTTTTCGTGCCACATGAGAAACAGAAAATATTGTGGAGGGCCGGGCCAAAATGCTTAAATCAATTCTGCATAATATTAATTGTATTTCTTTATAAAAACACAGTACATGATATGACTAAGCCACTGTTTCCCAAAGACTGGGTCACGACCGTCAGGTGGGTCGCAAGAGATTTATTTATTTTTGGTCGCCTTGTCACGATCTGCATGTAGGTCTGCAATATCCACTTTTGACACATTAGAAAGCTAATAAATATCCTGTCATATCATGTTGTTAAAAGTCTCACAATAATATTGTGGGCTGTCACAATATATCAAATATAAGTTCCTTTGCTTAAATGCATGGTTTTATAGTAGCAATGGCTAATAAACATTGGGAACTCCATATCCCATGATTCATTTCAGCGCAGACGACATGAAGAAATATGTTTTTTAGTTGAATTCTTCAGATTATGACAGTAATAATTCACACTAAAACCTTTTCAAGGTATTTTAAAAGCAAAAAAAAGTCCTATCTACAATTATATCAGCTTCTCCAAAATATCGCAGTAAATATCGTACCGTGAGATGCATATCGTGATAATATCGTACTGAGGGATTTGGACATTACATCCCTACATATATGTGTGAATTGGGATTTTCTGTGCTCACAGAAATGAAGACAAAGCACATAAACAGACTGAATGCTGCTCCTTATTTGCTGCTGCGCTCTCCTCCTGCACCCAGACTGAAACACGCTACAAAAACACAAACAGGCCCACTTATCTCACTAGAAATGTTGTCAAATGTTAAGACATGTTTTGTATAATTTCTAATCTTTTTGTAATTATTTTATTGACTATTTAGTTCCAATTTTGCTGGTTCAATTGAATGTTGAAAAGAAAAAATAAAATAAAAAATCCAACTAGGCGACTTATGAATCCTTTTATTCCTGCTTCAATAAAATGCCCACATTAATGTTCAATAATGGTCAAATCCACCTTTATTTTGTGATTTATATATAATGTCTAATGACTTGTGCCGCTTAGGTTTGTGACTTTAAAAAATATGGGTCCCCAGAAAAAAAGTTAGGGAAACACTGGCCTAAGCAATGAAAAGGTAAAAAAGTAAGTAAGTAAGCGATGCAGGTTTAGTCCATGCATGAGGTAAAATTATAAAATATGCTTATTTTGTAATTCCAAATTAGCTTAAATTCAGTTAACCAATGAGCAGTATGTGGCCTGAGAGCTGTGCAATGCCCAAGTCTGAGTTACAAAGAAGAAGGGTGACGTTTTTTCAATAGAAAGTGATTTGGAGCCAGAGTCAATGAAGCCAGAAGCACGCCAATGTTCTCTTCCTATCTGGATTTATTATGACCTCAGGAGCTGCTTATAGGATATATCTGTACTGAGATGGGACAGTTTTTCCTCAAATACTACATACTGGGCTTTCAAGACAATTTTGGACCAATCTGATCAAAATGAAACCCGTGGCGATAATGCTTTTGCTGCCTTCTTACCTCTCCCACCATGCCGTTCCACTCCCCGTCGATGTTTTTGCCATGGCGACCGTTGGTGACGAGGTAAAGGTCGTAGGTGAAGCCCACGATTTTGGCGAGACGTTTGAGGACATCGATGCAGAAGCCTTTACAGCAGTGCTTCATGGGAACGGTGCCCTCCATCACCAGGCTGCTGAGAAACATAGAAGACATATAGGCACGTGTTAAATACGATACTGTTAAAGCTTCGCTGTGTAACTTTTTAAATAAAAGCATGTTGTTTCATTTTGGATAATTTTATTGCTCTAAAAAACTTGAAAAAACCACAAACCTGACTCCATCTGTTTGTTTCCATGAAAATGTTGATCTTTTGACTATAATTTTCCACAATATGGCATGTTGAATGTTCTGAAGTATTGTTTTTTTTTTTACTTTACATCCAGAAAGTTACATGGTATTGCTTTAAAGTTTTATTATTTAGACCTGTTTACTTTTTGGTACATCCCATTTCATTGGCAGTAGAGCAGTTTGGACTGAAATTACGGTAAAGAGTTGGAGAGAGTTGTGACCAATCCTGAGACAAACAAGTACCAAAACAACATATTGGGCGGTTGTTTCGGGCCACAACCACAAGGGGGCGGTCAGATCCTCAGAAAGAACCATCGGTGCCTGACTAAATTTACTCCAATTAATTTGAAGCACACTGCACGCTCTTGAAATAAAAGGAAAAAGGGCCTTGTGCTTTAACCTTGTATTAGTTTCATCAAACACTGAAATGGCTCCTAAAAGAAAGTTGAGGTCTGAGGGGTTTGAAGTACAAAAAAGAAATAATTTGGAGACCGAAAACAGCGCAGGATAAAGTGGAGTGAGATAATGTTTTGTTTGCTTTGTTGGTGAATTGATTTTTTTTAACAGTGAATCCAGTGAAGGACCACGACCAAAATCATGTTCAAGGCCGGCGAACCAGCACTGTTACAAGAAAGCACATCACCATCTTGTAAATCATGACGTGGGAATAGTGAACTGCCTCAAGTACCTCAGTGTCCAGGTTAATGACAGACTGGACTAGAGGGACAACTGTAATGCCGTGTACAAGAAGGTCATGAGTACACTCTACTTCGTGAGAAAGCTCAGGTCTTTCAAGGTGTGGAGCAAGTTACTACAGATCTTCTATCAGTCTGTGGTACCAGCGCCCTGGACTTGGCTGTGGTCTGCAGGGAGAGCAGCAGCAGCAGTAAAGGAACACTGGGCGGCTTGACAAACTGATCTGTAAAGCTGCTCTCGTGATCGTCTGTGAGCTGGAGACATTTGTCACAGTGAGGGACACGAGGACACTGGACAAACTGCTTTCCATCATGGACACTCATGCTCACCAACTGCACCAGACAACAGAGGGACAGATAATACTCCCTACAACTGTACAACAACTCGCCCACTGCACCAGACTATAGACCAGACATGCCAAACTCAGGACCGGGCGCCAAATTTGGCCTGATATATAATCATATTTGGTCTGTGAGGTTATATCAAATCTGTATTAGAGCTGCCCGCCGGCTACAGATACACTATACAGACATTATTTATCTAAAATGTTGTTACTGTTTTATATGATGCTTGTCCATCCATCCATTTTCTTCCGCTTATCCGGGGCCAGGTCGCGGAGGCAGCAGTCTAAGCAGGGACTCCCAGACTTCCCTTTCCACACACACTTCCTCCAGCTCCTCCGGGGGGACCCCGAGGCGTTCCCAGGCCAGCCGAGACACATAGTCCCTCCAGTGTGTCCTGGGTCTTCCCCGGGGCCTCCTCCCGGTGGGACATGCCCAGAACACCTCCCGAGGGAGGCGCCCAGGAGGCATCCGGAACAGATGCCCGAGCCTCAACTGGCTCCTCTCGACGTGGAGGAGCAGCGGCTCTATGATGCTTGTTCTGGATTCAATGTTTAAGTAAAGTACATATCTTAAAACAAGAGAAAACATGCAGATGTTGTTGAAATTTTTTAAATAAATATTTAGTTTGGCCCATGAATTAGTCCCAGTTTTTAATTTTGGCTCTCTGTGAATTTGAGTTTGACACCTGCTATAAAGGGACAGATAATACTCCCTACAACTGTACAACACCTCACCCCTATGGTAACAGATAATACTCCCTACAACTGTACAAAACCTACTGCACAGACTATGACTCCCTACAACTACACACACTCAACTACTCACACTATGTCTTGGAAATTCTTCTCCCAGATAAACAAATATAAATTGCCTCCCACACTGGTGCAACCTGCAGACTCATAATATCTGCACTACTGTCCTAATGACCTGCACATGAGGGGAAAACACACACAAACACACACAAACACAAACACACACAAACACACACAAACACAAACACACACCTTCATCACCTATCAACTGAGAACCGCGGACACGTCTCTTCCGTAGTTACAGCGCGGACAACGTCTCTGCGCCGCACCGTGTTTTCTCGTGTAAACCGCTGCTTCCTCCTGTGCGCCTCTAAACAGAACTAACACCAGGACTAAAACCAGACTAATCAGACTAAACAGGACGAACAGGTTTAAACTAGGACTAAACCACGACTCCAGAACTAAAGACTGGTCAACTGCTAAACCAGGTCTAAAAATCAGGACTAAACAGGACTAAACCAGGTCTAAACAACATGACACCTAACAGTAGGTTGACATAATTTAAGATGATCTCATATAAAAAATATTTCTCTATCAATAATATTTTTTTAATCTGGTGAAGGAAAGGCTGATCTTGTTACTGTCTTTTAACAGACAAAACCTCTTATATTAAGATGTCGTGTCTTTGTTTCTCTACAGCAAACAGTTGCTTATTCATGGAGACTTGCTGACAATTTGAAGAAAACAAACAGTGATGTGGTTGCTACTATGTCGTTTAAAAAAACATGTCAAGTAATCCAAATATCAGATTACGTTACCCTTTAAGGAATATGGATTACGTTACAAACTAATTTTGGGGTGTGTATCTAATTGTGGGGATTACATTTTAAAAGTCTTAAGTCTAAGTAAGATCTGTGGTAAGGCAAGCACATTTTTGAATGATAAAAACAGGTAATTAAATAAATATCATAGAGACAAGCAGGTGGTCAAAGCTTCACCAGAAAAGTTACACAGTGTATCTTTAATTTACAAAAACAAGTAGTAAGAGTTTGTATTAGAATTTGAATGTACTCTAATACAATCCCATTCTGAAATTCCCAAAAGGACAGTTGTATATTCCATTTCATAAAAGGGCAAATCCGCGTGACCTATAGACGGATAACATTAATGAATCTGGAGTGCTTTGCCTTATCTCAGATTGTGTGCGGTTCGGAGCAGCAGACAGGAGCAGACAGGGGCAGACAGGAGCAGACAGGAGCAGCCTTATCAGGGGCAGACGCGGGCTTACCTCATCTGAACTATACCATCATCAGCTCGGGGACGGATTTCAAAGGCGGAGCGCTCCAGTCATGTTTTATGGAGGGTTTAAGACACTTTTGAATAGCACTATCGCTCTCATCGGAATATTAAAAGATCCTGTGATTTAGGCTTGAGCTACTTTTTCTTTCTAGTTGTTAGAACGCTGTTTCTAGGGTTATGGTATGAGATTCACATGAGATTTTCAATAACTACGATTTGTACTGTGATACCAATATTGTTGTGATGTTTTAATACACTTTTTGTCACAATGTGTTACTTAAATTAATTTAAAGGTGCAATGTGTACTGTATTTTTTGGACTATATGGTGCACTGGATTATAAGGCACAGTATCAATGTTGAATTCTCTTGTCTATTTTCATACAGAAGGTGCACCGGAGTATAAGGTGCATTAAGCGAAACAAATGGACGACACTTGAGACTGATCCTTTAGACCAGGCGTCCAGGAGACGGCGTCAGTGTGTGTTGAGTTGACGCAGGACTAATACTTTGCTGCGGTACTACGGTTGCCGTAATGCTCCGACAATCCATCAACCGGTGCAGCTTTGTAGTTTACCAAAGTCGTACTAAAACATTTTGACAGATTTTTGAGCTCCGTGTACCACATAAAATCGGTTTGAGGTCAGTAAGCACAACCAGAATGAATACATAAGGTGCACCAGATGTCGATTTTTGAGAAAATGCAAGGATCTTAAGTGCGCCTTATAGTCTGAAAAATATGGTAGCTGTTCTGGTGGAGGGTCCATCACCTGCTTCTCTCCATGAAGACGTCGCCAGGAATGTTCCACAGTACAGCATTACACTTATTTATCTCTACAGTAGGTGAGTTACATGTCAGATCGATGGAGAGACGAGCCCACTAATAGTAAGAATCTATGCTTTTAGGTCAATAACAACCCATGGTATTGAGTAAATTTGAGATTTATTGATTGATTGCATTTATACAGCGCCTTTCAAGATACCCAAAGCGCTTTACAGTTCATTATTCAGTCACTCCACACTCAGTGGTGGTAATCTACTACTGTAGCCACAGCTGCCCAGACTGACGGAAGCAAGGCTTCCAATCTTCACCATGGGACTTTCTGTGCCGCGGATACTGGGACATTCCAGATAAACCAATATCATTTCCATGGAGTTACACAATGCAACTTTAAAGCAAAAAATATGCATAAAGTTACTAGTTAAACATTAAAACATAAACAGACTATAGCAACACCAAACATGACATAAAGAGAATGTATTTTACTCCTGTGGGGTATTCACTGTTACATATGACATATCCCTTTGCTCTACGTGCTAAGTAGGGATGTGAATTTTTGGCAAAAACACTAGTCGAATATCAATGACAGCTATTTGAATATTATTCAAAAAAATGACCCCCCTCGCCCCCCGCACGCACATACAAAATGACAGATCGAGTTAAACAGGTATTTAAACACAAAAGGTTTAATCTAACAAGAATAACCTTCCAAATCATAGTAGAAATGAATGACTTCACTGAGCAACCCACTTATGAAACCATATGAAACTATATTCTAGGCTATCTCAATTTTAAAAATGCATGACCAACCACATCCTGTAGCCTACTGCGCTACTTTCACTGAACTGCCTAGTTAATTAGACGAAACTTGTTTAAACAGTCTGAATCGTTGACAACAATAACAGGTTGAAACAAGCACTCATAGTCTTGGCTATGGCTTTAGGCCTATGCCATATTTTTGTTCAAAAAGAT